TTTCATGTGTGTGGGACAATTTTTAAGTTAAAAACAAGGGGGATGCATTTTTTGGCAGGTCCTTGCCAAAAACTGCATCCCCTGCTATCTCAGAGGAGTTGACACTTGTACATCTGTATTCCTGTATATTCATCAGTAATTAAGTACAAGGATCAGCAAATGCAAATACTGCCCTGTAAAACAATGACAGTGCAATTGTTGCTTCATATGATCTGAAGCCCCATTTGGAGCTTTTAAACAGGATTTTGAAAAACTTTGATAAATTGCTGCTGTAATATTATAGATTTTTTAGAATAAGCTAGCAGATGTGCATAAACAAACAAAAAAAAAATGCAATACAGTTCAGTAAAAATACAGTTCTGTTTTATGCCTCATTCTTGTAAGTTTAAAATGTTCCAATGCTCCTGAATGCACCATAGCTTTCTGACGCGCAGCGAACGCATCACACTGGTCTGTGAACGCTGTGCTTTGTAGGTGCGCGTTTGATTTTCCACTTAAGAGAAAGCTTTGCAAACTCAAAACTCACTTCGGCTATCACGGTTTAGTGTTGTGTGTAAATAGCAAGAGACCACAACAAATAAATCAGCCGTACCATGGTCAAAATCTTTGGATTTAATGTTGTTCAAAAAATTTGTACTTTTGTAAATTAATCTGCCAAATAACCACAACTTTTTTCCCACGAGAGGTATTTTTAAACGTTTTTATATCATTAATATAAGAACCTAAGCTCCATTGAACATATTTAAATCCGTTTTCCTCGTCGATATGCAGTTCAACAGAGCGAGGCGCGCTCCCGCGACTGGGGATGCATATTTCGGCAGGCATGCACTTTTGGGCATAACACCGGTGAATCAGATCAATAAGACGTCAGTTTATGATTGGTTCACAGCGGTTACGTTCAACAGCACAAGACATCTAGAAGTAGAGTCTTTTATTGATGAGTAAAGACAGTTTAGTTATTTGAGGAAACATGATCTGAAGAAGACATGTTTAGTTTAATAAGTCCAATATGGACTGACTATATATACGTAAATGTATGTATATGTAGTGTTTGAGTGTGTGTAATTTTCACTGTTGCTGCACTTTGCATGAAATCATAGTCATATCGATATCGAGATATTTGGGTTCAATATCCAGATGCGATCATTTGGCCATGAAGCCTAGAGGGTTTGGTTTGTCTTGGATTTCTTATCTTGTATGTGATATATGAAAGTATTAGATTGCTAACATCATGCTTTTTAAACTGCCATTTACAGAATGACATCTGGATCCAACTCAAAAAGACAGAGGTTACCTTCAACCAAAATGAAAGATCATGTACAGCTGGGAACTGAAGAGGAAGAGGAGGCAGCTGGTGAGTTATTGTTAATTTACTTACTGTTATTTTTTACTTTTAACTCATCAATTGGTAATTAAAGGAAAGTATAAGTAGAATAGCTGATTTTTAAAGATCCCCTACATGCTAAACTGTATACAGTATAAACTACCGTATTTTCACGACTATAAGGCGCACTTAAACGTCTTTTTTTTCCCTCAAAATGTGCGGTGCGCCCTATGGTGCGGTGCGCCCTATGTGTGTTGTAACTGCGACTTTTGAGACCACCTCATTGAGGAGATGATGAAAGAGTGGCTGAATGTAAGGAGACCAGGTGTTTTTTTTCCACCCCTCACCATCGCTGTTAATATGTAACTCCATGCGTGCCCATCTCACAGCTGATGTGAAAAACATGGGGAAACAAATTAACGCTGTGCTCGCTGTTCAACCGCTCAACATCGGTGTGAACCGGACGCAGCAGGTGCAGCAGAAGCAGCGAGTTTACATGCAAAGTCAATGGTTGACGCGCATATAGGTGCAGCAAAAGGTCCTGCAGCGCGTTTTGGTGCAGCACGTCGGGAGCGTTTAAGCATCTGACGCACCGCCAACGCGCTGCTGCTGCTCAGATAGAAAAATTTAAGTTTTGCTGCTGGACGCGCCGCATCAACCAATCAGAGAAGCTGATCTGGGAGCTGGCTGGGAGACAGACACAGCGCTCTGATGACATGATATTAACGCAAATGAAAAAGGCTGGATGGATGAGGAGATGATGAAAGGCAGGTGTATGTGAGGAGACCAGGTGCTTTTTTCCACGCATCACCATCGCTGCGTGCCCATCTCACAGCCGATGTGAAAAAAAGATGAATCAAATGAACGCTGTGCTCACCGTTATCTCGGGGGTCTGACAAAGGAACTTCCACCGCTTGACATCGGTGTGGAGCGGCCGTTCACAGTAAGGCTGCGAGCGGCGTGGGAGCGATGGATGACAGACTGAGACCACAGTTTCATGATAAATGGAAGGCAGCGCCGGGCAAGTTACGCCACCGTTTGCGGATGGATTGTAGATGGACTGTGTCTGCTGGCTCTGTTGTTCAAGCTTTCGCAAAAGCCGGCATTATTTCTGAGGAGCTGCGCTGCACGGAAAGTGACTCTGACAGCGCAGAAAAAGGGGAAACTGGCATGTCTGATTTAGCGCAGCTGTTTAATTCAGAAACAGAGGATGATGACTTTGATGGGTTTGATTAATACTTTGTAATAAATACATTAATAAAGCACAATCATACTCAGGTTTGCTCCCGCTCTATTTTTCTACCTGAAAACTTAATTCAACAGCAGCCTCTGGGCGGGTCTCCTCCTCTTCACAGCGGTGGCTGGCAGGTGTTTTTTCATCTAAATAATCTAAATCTTGCAGCTATATTTGCTGTGATCAGTTGGAATAAAGTAGTTTTAATGTGTTTTTAAGTGAGAAAGGCCACCTGAAAACTTCATAATTGCAGTCAGTTCATCCAGATTATCTATTTCTGTCGGAGGCGCTCAGACCCCGACATACCAGCGGTGCACCGACAGGAGAAATCCTTTCGTTCACCGCGGCTGTTGGCAGGTGTTTTTCATCTAAATAATTTTAGCTGCAGGCACCAGGATACCGGTAAAAAAAGGGAACATATTCCGTCAGCAGGTTTCAGGATTTTAAGTTAATTTAGGAGTGATCACAGCGCTGTGTCATCTGCGATGTGTCTGTCTCACGGCCAGCTGCCAGGTTTGATTAATACTTTGTAATAAATACATGAATAAAGCACAGTCATACTCAGTTTTGCCCCCGCTGTATTTTTAAATACGCAGTAGAGGTATTTAAAGGTAGTAGAGGACATGTACCTGTATATAAAAAACGCGCCCTATAGTCCGGTGCGCCTTATGTGTGTGTTAAATACAGAAATGGGACACATAACTGAGACTGCGCCTTTTAGTCCGGTGCGCCTTATGGTCGTGAAAATACGGTACTTGAATAATAATTTGAGTCTACTATGGTCTTTCCACAGAAACGTTAAATTGTCTTGTTAGAAATCCTTAAAATTGTATCAACACCTTTTCACACTTTAAAAATTGCACAATCAATTAATATATATATTTAATATATAATAATATAAATTTAGCTGCTAGACTCAAGATGTGTCTTAATTCACTGTCAAGCAGCAGCGGCACCAGAAAATTATTATGGGGGGGGCAATGGCCACAACAAATACCAACAAATAAATAATACTATAATAGATATAGATTTACTGTTCCCGGGCTAATACACTACATATTGTGAAATGCACATTACTAAATGTTTATCATATGATAAGCACATACATCAACACTTCTTTTATCCTTTTTGTTTTTCAGAGCCAGAAGACATCAGAGTGGCTCGAGGATTTCTTAAAAATGTTGCTCTGTACCAGGAGAGCCCTGCAGCCTTGATCCACCCGTCACAGAAGGCTCTTCAGGAGCTCTTTCCCAATAGTGGCCTGTTCCTGTCATCCTTTAAGCTTGCCTCCATAATGCATGCATGTGACCATGACAGCCTTCGACTTTTCCATCTCCTTTTTGAACACTTCTTCACCGCAGAGGAGTGCACCAATGCAATGGCTTTCGGACGACATGGCAAGATACCAGAGGGGAAGCAGCTGCTTGACCAAAGCAAAGTTGATGGAATTCTGAGTGAGTAGATTTTCTGGTGTAATGACTGCAATGTTCTAGCTACTTTCTAGTATTTTGCCTGCTTGATTTGTTGTACACTAGTTACTTGATTGTTGTTGTTTTTTTTTTTTGAGTAAATATGTTTTTAATATGATTAGATTATGAAAGTCTACAGTGGCCGACAAGGGTCAAATGGACAGCAACGGCCCAATATGTCTCAGTTTGAGAAAACAGCTTCAAGTACAGAAACGAAGCAAAATCACAAAATCAAACACAAGTCTAAACGAGCTACAAAATGAGGAACGTGTTGCAAATGAAAAAACGCATCATCAAAAATGCATCATCATCAAACGCACTGCAAATGGAGAAACGATCTGTAAACCAAGAAAAGATCTGCAAACGAAAAACGCTGCATGCTCCAAACCTGCAGGGGGAGCCCTCAGCGTAACAGCTCAATAGAGAGACAGAACAGCTGACTAAATCACAACGGTGTATGAAAATACAGCAGGAACCGCTTATAGTGATCACGGATATAGTAATCAGCTGCTTTAAGATCCAGAGGACAGAATCATTTCTATACAAAGGCTGTTTAAATAATTTGGTTATAGTGATCAAGAAATTCACTTATAGTTTCATTTTTGGGAATTTTATGAATGAAAACATGCAAAAACTATTTTAAAACTACGTGTATTTTATTTTTTACTCGCAGCAGGACACAGCGCAGCTGTCCCATCCAGAGCTGAGGAATGCAGTTCACATTTTAAAGACTGGTCTCCTGCATGTTGGTTAAAAAACTTTGACCTTTTACATGGTTTTGAAAAAGAAGTGAACTTGGTGTTAGGCAAAAGTAATTAAACTTGCATGATGCTTCTCAAAAGAAGCATTTGAAACGACTGAGTTTAAAATCAGAATAAAATTCAATCAATGCTGAAGCTGTCTGTTTCCATTTTTCTCATTGAAAAATGATACAAATGGCATTTAGATGACGTTCTGCATAAAAAATTAAGTGAAACAATAAAAATTCAGTTATAGTAATCAACTGCTTATTGTGATCATATTGACTCCAGACCAACGTGATCACTATAAGTGGTTTCCACTGTACAGCAGGAACGGTAATATGACTTTTACTTGATTTTATATATATGTTTATATATGTTTGCATGTAGATTAGCCTGCTTGATATAGGTATGGGAAACTGTGAAAAGAGGGCTTTTTAATGTATTATTAAAGCGGGTGTTTTATATCAAGTAGGCTAATCTACATGCAAACATGTATATACATATATATATATATAAAATCAAGTAAAAGTCACATTACCGTTCCTGCTGTATTTTCATACACCGTTGTGATTTAGTCAGCTGTTCTGTCTCTCTCCATCCCGTGTGTCTCTCTATTGAGCTGTTACGCTGAGGGCTCCCCCTGCAGGTTTGGAGCATGCAGCGTTTTTCGTTTGCAGATCGTTTGTCGGTTTACAGATCGTTTCTCCATTTGCAGTGTACCTGTTAGAAGTTAAAGTTTTGTACCTCGTTTAGACTTGTTTGATTTTGTGATTTTGCATCGTTTCTGTACTTGAAGCTGTTTTCTCAAACTGAGACGTATTGGGCCGTTGCTGTCCGTTTGACCCTTGTCGGCCACCGTAAAAGTCAAATAAGAAATTGAATGATACTGAATGTAGCTCCTGGTGTGTTGAGAGATGCACAGGAAGGCTAAGATGGATATAAACAGTCCTTTATTTTAACCCTTTGATACACTGGCACTGCAAACCCATTCTAATGCACAAGATGGATCAAAATTTACCTGTACTTGTGTCATGCATAGCTGAGTGTTTCTTTGCCATATCTTTTAAAATCAATTTATTTCATCATTTAATATTCCTAATATTAAATGTTTTCTTTGCCACTAGTCATTATTTCCTCTTATGTTAATAATCAAAAACATTATACACTTAGATGGAACCATTGCTATATAGAAATGTCATTTTACAGATAGTTGAATGAACATAATAATGTATTAAAATATGCTAGGAAAATATCAAACAAATTTAAGTCTCTTTTCTCCGTTTTTTTTTTTTTGCAGCCTATGTGAGGCGGTGTGCAACGATGGAGAACTGGAAACCAGTAGAGGAGGCCAAGCTTAAAAAGGCCCTCATAAATAAATGCCATCACAGGTCAGTACAGTGACTGGCTTTACAGGCATAATGTTTCCAACAGCCCCTTGTTCACCAGTGTGCCCTCTTGTTCAGCAATTGTGAATTTTTTCACCGTTTATTGGCATGTTGTTACACCAGTGGTTGTCAATTGGGATAATGTGATTGCTGTCACTTTTAAAATGTATGGCCTGGTTCACTCTTGTAAAATGGTATGCACATTGGTATGAATTAATGCAAAATAAATGAGGCTGCAGTTCATTCACAGTTGTTTCTTATTTCTTCCATTTTAATCTCAATTTTCTCTTACCTTAGTCTCAAAGTCATTCTGACATTATCTCAGTTTTTCTCCGAAGGGGAGGGGGTTAGGAGCAATAATTCAGATTGAGGTGATCTCAAGAAGAGAAGCAATTGAGCTCCGTCTTACAACTCTTTAGTGCTCCTCCTGGCTTTTTAGGAGCAATAAGTAAGACATGAATGAGATCATAAAGATGGAATCCTGAGATCTCCTATGATCTCAGTTTTTTTCCAAGGTGTGATTTAGGAGCAATAATTCAGATTGAGGTGATCTCAAGAAGACAGGCAATTGAGATCTGTATTTTAACTCTTTAGTGCTCCAACCGGCTTTTTAGGAGCAATAAGCAAGACATGAATGAAATAAAAAAGATGCAATGATGAGATCTTATCTATGACTATCATTTCTCCTACAAGTCTCATAAAGTCATTCTCACAATATCTCAATTTTGCTCCTAAGGGGGGGTTTAGGAGCAATAATTCAGATTGAGGTGATCTCAAAAAGATACACAATTCAGATTGAAGAAATCTCATAAAGATATTCAATTGAGATCTCCGTACTGTCTTGAGAGATCAAGAAAAGACTATCCTGAGCAAAAAAGTTTTCCTCTGGGTTGTCTCATGTTGCCTGAAAGCTGAATATCAATGGAAGCTGTTTCACAAACAAATACCACAAATCGTAATACAAAATAAAACCAATAGTTAAATGTACCTGCTTGTTGGAAAAAGGAAAGAGTTATGATGGCCCCCATTAAACGGACAGCAGCTTGCAACCCTTCATTTTTCTCTCATCTCTATAATCAGGCTGAGTGCTGCAGCTGTGCCATTCTGGATCAACAACGCATGCAGATAGCAGCCATGCAGGGTGGTGCTACTACTTATAAACTGCTGAGCCTGGGCATCTCTGCATGTTTACCTCCAGAAGAGGGAGGGGGTCGGACCTTTGAAAGCAGTGGCTTGAATTATGGAAATTGGATCCAATTTTAAAAAAATGGTTCTTTGACGCCATGTAGCCCCGACTCAGCCTAACTCTTTTTATTTTCTACCTCCACATGCATGATATTCTGTTCTACTAGTAAACACCCTAAAACAGAAAATGTGATGCTTTTTGGTGAAGACACATGCGAGTCCATGTTCAGCACCGACTTAAACAACTTTTATTGTCATTTTGTCAACAATGAGTGTATGCCAAACTAAATTTAGTTTTGTACACCTTCATAATATTTCCATTTCTTAACGGGCAGCGGTGATCAAATATAAGCAGTGTAATCTGTGAAGACTTGCCACATCCTGCTGGTGTTGCTGGCATCATGGAAGAGATCCTGGGTCTTTCAGGTGTGGTTCAGCTTTGCTGATCTAAGGTACAGTTCAAATTGGCTCGCCTTCAAGTCTGCCTGCCTTTCGTCAGACTTGAAGGGTGAGTTCCGTGCTTTTAGCGATTTCCGAACTTCCCTACTCATCCAGGGTCATTGGTTGGCTCGGATGGAGATGTTCTTTGTGATGCTGATGTCTTCAATGCATTTGCTGATGTAGGCTGACACAGTCAGGGCATACTCATCTATATTTATTTTTTTGTTCACAGGAATTAATCCAAGTATTTTGCCCAGTTCCTCCCAGTAGGGAGGCATCAAGAGGACTCCTGTATTTCAGACAGGGAGACTGAACAAAAGGATAGAGGATGGACTCTCCACCCGTGATTCTCCTCAGTCTCTCAAGCAGCTAGAGGATCTGGGTACTCTGATTGATCTATGCCTCTACAAACAACGCACAAAACGGAGAGCTCAAATATCAGCAAATTCTCACTCTACCTCTCCTTTGGTTCCTGCTGAACCAAGCCAGACTGGTCCGTCTTCCAAGAATTTCTTCTCCCTGTAACAGTACCAGTCCATTCCAGCAGCCATAACCTGTCAGCATTTGTGGACTTGTCTTCCTTCACCAGATTCTCACAAGGTTTTAGCCTTGCCATCAGATGAATCGATCCTCTCTCATGACTGAACTGGTTTAACTTGTTGTGGGTGGAAACCATATTTAACATATTTCTTTTCTGATCATAGATTCCCTTATCTTAGATTTAACATGACCCACATAGACTGGCAGAAAGTGGTGTAAGGCTCAGATACTGTAATTGGACCTTGAATTTGGGCAGACAGAGAAGGTTAGTTCAAAGGAATATTGCTTTATTGAAAAGCTCTGGATTTGCAGGACATCAGCTGGGACTGGGTTGCTGGATTCCCTGCAGAAACAGACACTCAGGTTAGTGATCACTAGGCTCAGACAGGGAACTATAATGAGCATGTGAATCACTAATCTGATTAAAAGCCGCCTAGAGCGTTCCAGGTGCGCAGATGCTGAAGATCAAGAGGATCCAGAGGCAGAAACCAGAACAGGTCATGAAGCCGTAGTCCAGATCAGAGAGATGCAGAGGTACCAAGGAGATCATCCAAGCAGGATTCAGAAGATAGAACCAAGGTATTTTGTAGGTAGAATCCAGGTAACAGTCCAAAAACAGAACAGGCAATAGAGCAGAACAGGACCAACCCAAAAATCTGAAGCTGGCCATTGTGATCTGAAACTAGTCATGATCAGGAAATCAGAAAGCCACAGATTGCTCACACAGAGCTTCAATATGTTAGATCATATGTTAGATCCAGTTCCAACCAGGTTATTTAAGGAGGTATTCCCTTTGATCTTCTCCTCCATTTTAGATGTGATTAATCTATCTCTGTTACAGGGATATGTACCTAAAGCTTTTAAGGTTGCTGGAATTAAACCTCTGCTTAAGAAACCGTCTCTTGACCCAGATGACTTGGTCAATTATAGACCTATATCCAATCTTCCTTTCTTATCTAAAATTATTGAGAAAGTAGTTGCCAAACAAGTTTGCGATCACTTCCACCATAATGAACTTTTTGAAGAGTTTCAGTCTGGCTTTAGAGCTCATCATAGCACTAAAACAGCTCTGGTGAAAGTCACTAATGATATTCTCATGGCCTCAGATAATGGACTTGTATCTGTGCTCGTCCTGTTGGATCTTAGTGCTGCATTTGATCCAGTTGATCATAATATTCTTATAGAAAGACTTGAATATTTTGTTGGAATTAAAGGAACAGCACTAGACTGGTTTAAATCTTATCTATCTGATCGAATTCAGTTTGTTCATGTTAATGATAGATCTTCAACACGCTCAAAGGTTACCTGTGGAGTACCACAAGGATCAGTGCTAGGACCAATTCTCTTCACTTTATACATGCTCCTAATCGGTAGAATTATTAGACAGCATGGGATTAATTTCCACTGTTATGCTGATGATACCCAGCTATATCTGTCTATAATCCAGATGAAGCTAACCCATTACATAGATTACAGGCATGTCTGAAGACATAAAAACCTGGATGACTCTTAACTTTCTGCTTCTGAATGCAGACAAAACAGAAGTTATAGTCTTTGGACCAGAGTCTCTGAAAAAGAAGCTGATTAGCCAGTCACTTCATTTGGATGGGATTAAACTGATTTCAGATAATAAAGTAAAAAATCTTGGTGTTGTTTTTGATCAGGACCTGTCATTTAAATCCCAGATCAAAGAGGTTTCTAGAATTTCCTTCTTTCATCTGAGGAATATTGCAAAACTGAGAAATCTCCTGTCCAGGGGTGATGCTGAGAAACTAGTCCATGCATTTGTTACTTCAAGGCTGGACTATTGTAATTCTTTACTATCAGGAAGTCCACAAACTGTAGTTAAAAGCCTTCAGCTGATCCAAAATGCTGCAGCCAGAGTTCTGATGAAAATGAAAAAGAGAGATCATATCTCTCCTATTCTGGCTTCTCTTCATTGGCTTCCTGTTAAATCCAGAATAGAATTTAAAATCCTCCTTCTCACATATAAACCCTTAAATGGCCAAGCTCCATCTGATATCAGAGATCTGATTGTTCCTTGTTGTGCCATATGCCATGATCATACTTTTTGGACATTGGGAAGCAGTGTCCATATTTCATCCTGATAGGATGACCAGAGGAGAGAACGCAGCTTTGGTGGATAACAGCTGGGGGAATTCTGCAGCCCCCCCTTTTCAGCCAAAGTCACAGGCAAGTCACATGGGAGCCACCAGAGGTGTGAAAACCTACCCCCCTCCCTGTGAAGACAGAACAAAACCACAGAGCACACAGGATTCTGCCTCTTCTCTCTTTCTCCCTCTTCTGATCCAGCCCTTCTGCTCCTGCGCTCAAAGCTGGGGCCCACTGTGGCCCACAGTGGAGATGCGGGCCCCAGGGGAACCAGATCCCCAGAACCATTAAGGATGAGTCAGAACTCTTCAGAACCTAACTGCTGCAAACAGAACTTTTGCAACACATTTCTCTTAAGTTTCAGAACTTACAGAGCCAAACTGGACGAAGACCATGCCCTGGGTTTGAGACTGAGGGGACCCCTGCTGTGAGACTGAGACAAAGAACCCCTGACTGCAGAGCTGCAAAACTGGATGAAACTCAAGCTTTCCAAATGGACATGGAAAAAGGTTTGCAGGTCTGGCATGATTAGGGACAGAACAAGCAATGTGTCTTTTGATGATGCTAATCATATCGTGTGTTTACTGCGGAGTAAAGACAACGCTAATTGATGCTAAAGAATGGACTGCATGCTACGCTATGCTACTGGAATATGTGTTGAGCTGTTGCTAAAGCTTAGACAAGCTTTATTCACTAAGGATTTAAACACTGATATAACATTAGTGTTCATGTGTTCCTCAGATGCTCATTACATTTCAATT